GCACCTAAGCCGAAGTTTTGTCCAGAAGGCCAAAACTAAGGCTGGGCTTCGAACGTTCAAGGTACAAAAGGCCCCTAATGGCGACGAGAAGCAGAACAAGTCCGCCAAAACCCGTGCCAGGAAGTTGTACCTCAACATGCTGACGAAAGTTGAATGCTGCATCATGGACGACGAAACATATGTGAAGGCCGACTTCAAACAGATCCCCGGCAACCTGTTTTTCACGGCCAAGGATAAGTTCAGCGTTCCGGAGCATGTCCGCACTCAGAAGATGTCCACATTTGCGAAGAAATTCCTGGTTTGGCAAGCCATCTGCACGTGCGGGAAGCGGAGTGCACCTTTCGTGACCCAGGACACGATGAACGGACAGGTGTACATAAAAGAGCGCCTCCAGAAGCGGCTGCTTCCTCTCCTGAAGGCCCACAACGTCCCAACAATCTTCTGGCCGGATTTGGCCTCATGCCACTACTCCAAGGACGTGCTGAAGTGGTATGCGGACAATAAGGTCAATTTCGTGCCGAAAATGTTCAACCCTCCCAACACTCCGGAGCTCCACCCCATCGAGAAGTACTGGGCGATTATGAAGCAGCACCTTCTTAAACGACCTAAGGTAGTGAAGACAGTCGAGGAACTGAAGAAAGTATGGGTTTACATGCAAAAAACGGTTGATTCACAGGTTGTGCAGAATCTTATGGCCGGGGTTAAGGCCAAGGTGCGGGCATTTGCGTATGGACTGTAAATAAAATACGAGTAAAATGGTAAAATGAAGTTTAATAGTTATTTCTCAATCCCTGAAAATTTGATGGCAATCGGATGAAAACTCGAATTTTGCGAATCAATTTTGTGTGTGGCAATTTCATCGTGGACACCCTTTATCACCCCTTCTTCAAATGTTTCATCTGTACCTACTCCCCTCGCTGCTAACAATGTTCAGCGAGTTAATGCAGCTACCTATGCTGCTATTGCAGCGGGTAGAAATCAAAATACTAACCAACGTTCTAACGGAAATTTTAACAATTTTGACTTAGGAAGCATTACTGCTTCTAAAATGGATTTTTTACAGAATTCATTAATTGACATGATTTCTGATATGCTTAAATCTAACTCCACGTTTGATGCTATTCAAACTGGAGTAAAATTTGCTAATAATATTGTCATGACTTTAAAATTCAGTAATGGATTTTAAAGCATTAAATATTTTAAATTTGGAATGCTCCATCTCTTAAAGATAATGAAGACGAGCTATTTAACTTTTTGAGAGTTCATAACGTGCATATTGCCGTTATAACTGAAAAGTTCCTTAAACCTGACCATAAGGTTAAGAAGGACGCAAATTATTTGATTTATAGAAATGATCGTCTTGATGGACCATGTGGTGGCGTTGCCATCATTGTTCATAGACGAATCAAACATAAAATTCTTTCTTCATTTGAAACCAAAGTTTTTGAAACCTTGGGAGTTTCTGTTGAATCAAAATTTGGACAACTTACGTTTATAGCTGCCTATTTGCAATTCCAATGCGTAGGCCAGCAAAAGAATTTTCTCAAGGGTGACCTTCAGAAACTTACCCGTCATAGGTCTAAATTCTTTATTATTGGTGATTTTAATGCAAAACACCGCTCATGGAATAATGCTCAAAGCAATTCCAATGATAATATTCTGTTTGATGATTGTTCTACAGGTTATTACACTATTCAATATCCAAACAGCCCAACATGCTTTTCTTCTGCAAGAAATTCCTCCACTATTGATTTGGTCTTAACTGATTCATGTCAACTTTGTAGCCAATTGGTTACCCATGCTGACTTCGGTTCTGATCACCTTCCAGTAACTTTTGAAATATCTTAAGAAATAATTTCTAATCCCAACAGCTCTATTTTCAATTACCATAGAGCTGATTGGGAGCAATATCGAATATTTCAGGAATATAGCTTCGATCCAAACATTCCTTTGCAAACCAAAGATGACATTAATTATGCTCTTGAATCTCTGACTACTTCTATAGTTGAAGCAAGAGCTGCCTCAGTACCAAAATGCGAGGTTAAATTCGATTCAATTATAATAGACGACGATCTTCAGCTCTTGATCCGTCTTAAAAATGTCCGCAGGAGACAATATCAAAGAACACGCGATCCTGCCATGAAAGTTATCTGGCGGGATTTGCAAAAACAAACTAAAAAGCGATTCTCTGCCCTGAGGAACAAAACTTTTGAAAATAATGTTTCCAAATTGGACCCGAGCTCCAAACCCTTTTGGAAACTCACAAAAAAATTGGAAAAAACCTCAAAAGCCTATTCCAGCGCTTGAAGAAGGTGGTAAAATTTTGATCACAAATTTGGAAAAAGCTCAGAAACTTGCTAAGCAATTTGAGAGCTCCCATAATTTCAGTTTGGGTCTTACTAGTCCTATTGAGAATCAGGTTGCTCGGGATTTTCTGAATATTTTCTCTCGGGAAAATATTTTTGATGATTCCTGGGGGACTGATTTGGACGAAGTAAGGTCTATAACTAAAAATTTTCAAAATATGAAAGCTCCAGATGATGATGGAATTTTCTATATCCTCATCAAAAAACTCCCAGAGAGTACCTTGTCTTTCTTGGTAAAATTATTTAACAGATGTTTCCATTTGGCATACTTTCCTGATAAATGGAAAAATGCAAAAGTTGTTCCAATTTTAAAGCCGGATAAAAATCCAGCTGAAGCTTCTAGCTACCGTCCAATAAGTTTGCTTTCTTCAATAAGTAAACTTTTTGAAAAGATAATTTTGAATAGAATGATGCTTCACATCAATACGAACTCAATTTTTGCAGATGAGCAGTTTGGATTTCGCCATGGGCATTCAACTACTCATCAACTCTTAAGAGTTAACAATTTAATTCGTTCAAACAAATCTGAAGGCCACTCAACTGGAGTTGCTCTTCTAGACATAGAAAAAGCATTCGACAGTGTTTGGCATGAAGGTTTGATTGCTAAATTGAAAAAGTTTAATTTTCCACTTTATATTATGAAATTAGTTCAAAATTATTTAACTGACAGAACTATTCAAGTAAATTATCAAAATTCCAAATCTAATCGACTACCTGTTAGAGCAGGAGTTCCTCAGGGTAGCATTCTTGGGCCTATATTGTATAACATTTTCACTTCGGACCTCCCTGATTTGCCTCAGGGTTGCCACAAATCTTTGTTCGCTGATGACACAGGCATTTCCGCTAAAGGAAGAAGTCTTCGTGTTATTTGCAGCAGACTGCAGAAAAGTTTAGATATTTTCTCTTCTTATATAACGCTTCCAAAACTCAACTTATAATATTTCCACATAAGCCTAGAGCTTCGTTTTTGAAACCTAGTAGTAGTCACATAGTCACTATGAACGGAGCTCCAATTTCCTGGTCAAACCAAGTGAAATATCTTGGATTAATACTTGACCAAAAATTAACTTTTAAAGATCACATTGAGGGCATTCAAGCCAAATGTAACAAATATGTAAAATGTTTGTATCCTCTTATAACCAGGAAATCCAAACTTTGCCTGACGAATAAACTTCCAATATTTAAACAAGTTTTTACACCGGCCATGCTTTACACTGTGCCAATATGGTCTAGTTGTTGCACTACCAGGAAAAAAAGCACTTCAAAGGATTCAGAACAAAGTTCTGAAAATGATTTTAAAGTTGCCTCCCTGGTACAGTACTACCGAAGTACATAGAATTTCGAATGTTGAGACTTTAGAACAAATGTCCAACGAAATAATTAATAATTTCAGGCAAAAATCGTTGCAATCCTCAATTGCAACGATTAATTCCCTTTATACTTAGATAAGATTTAGTTTTCGTTTTTAGTTTTAAGATATCAATTGTTATACTGACATGCAGGTTTAAAATACTGAATTGTCAAGACAGGAACAATGTAAAAACACTTAGATATATATATATATATATATATATATATAATAACAATTAAGGCTGGTAAGTTACTGTAGTAACTGGAGCACCTAGGTTAAAATGAAATGTAATTTATGTTGAATTTAGAACAAATAAAAAGTTAAAAAAATATATCGCTTGCGATGCCACAAATTTCTGGTCCGGGAGACAAATCAAACAACGTAGTGTAGTAAATAATGCAGACCGTTGAAAAATAAAATGTTTATGGCTGTAAATCATGCAGAACGAATAAACCAATTGCACCATTCTAAATGCATCGCACCATACGGTCCCACGCTAGCAAGAAGATCGAATTACAGACCTCCGTGCCGCCTGGGATTCTGCTGCGACAAGCAACGATTTAACACATGTTGCATTTCTCTTATTTACATACTACGTGCATATCGATCGCCAAACCACAACTGCCTATTGACCTGATCGAGTAGTCCAGGCACCTGCCATTATATAAAGCATATCAAGACCAACAATTGAAATGGCCTCAACTCCATTTAGTAAACAAACTTTGTAAGGCCAACCGAAACCACAATCGGGTAGAGGAGAAATTCCCCTACAAATTAGAATTCGTTAATAAGATCAGTAACCAGCGCATGTGCCGAGTATCCCCAGGGAAGTGGTAAAACCTTTTTAAATCAAAATCCATCATTCAACCCATCAAATCACATGGGATTCAGAGCCATAACCATAAGCGTTCATATTGAGGATCGTAAGAACTATATTGGTCACATCCGGTCATGTTACGGATACCCTAGGGGAAGTGGACAGAATCTGTCTCGATTCAAATCTCAAGATGCGATATGTTGTCAACATTCTTAATTTAATAGAAGCAAGCCTAAAAACTTAGTTTAAAAATGGGACTGACTTGCGGTTATTTTTCGCTGTGGGACAAATTGAGTTGGTATTGTTTTTCATTTTTCTTGAACAAACCTCCTTCTTTCAATAGCACAGCTCAAAAACATAAAAAGATAAACTGAACAAGGGACTTGCGGTTACCAGCAGCGTTAGCGATTGAACTTATTCGATCAGAGCACCTACAAATGGACCGTTGCCTATCAAGCACGCTCAAGTCTATATATTTCCAAAAATAAATAAAAGCACATGTTAAAAACCATCACTGTGAATTACAAATAACTATTGGGGCAGCAGACGATCGGCTGGTGTCCCTCGAACGCACAAGTCTTGATCTTTGCCAAACCTTGACGATGCTCCTTCATTAACCGTTGACAGCCTTCGGCCGGAACACATCGCCCCAAGCCACCCCCAGTTGCTGGAAGGCACGGATTGTCCACAAAATATTCATGCTGAGATGACGGTACTTGCAAATCTAGAGCCTCAACTGAAATAGTGTAAAGGTTTAACAACTATAAATTTATAAACTACAAGACAGTTCCTCACTGATGTGTTTCAATACTACGGACTCGATCCAGGTGTAGTGTTGAGCTGTAGCTACTGCTTTGAATCGATTTCCACGTCCTCCACAGCTAGAACCTTCCGTGTTCACACCGTACAGGAATGGAATATAGACTTTGATTTTGGAATGATAGTTAGTTACGGGACCTCCGAGCCCGTACTGAAAAGAAATCAGTTGATCAAATTAATCAGAAGAGTTTAAAAATTTTCAGGAACATACCGTACAAGTATCCGGAATCAAATTCTCCCTATTCATCGCACAGATTAGACCTTCTTTACACAGATCATCCTGAGTGATAGTTGCATTAACAACCAATTGCTTCCGATCATCCGGTCGGATGGCCGACACGAAGACCTTCTTCTCTGGAATGAAGTCCTTCTTCCACAGGCATGCGGGACCAGCGAACTTACGGGTCGTCTCAAAGTTGATAAATTGTTCTAACGTAACAACAGCCAAGTTATTTTGTTCCCTTTGCGATTCAGGGTGTAGCGTAATATCCGATATGTTCGCTCGATCGGTTCCCAGCAACACAAAAGTAGGTTTGTTTGGTCCCGACACACAATCAGCTGAAGTGATGACGTGCCGGTAGTCTATTAGCGCACCTCCACAGATGGCGACATCGCTTTCATCGTTCATCAGGTCTACGCGAAAATCGGGGGCAACCAACGGATACTGAACGGAACTTTGGATGTCCTTATAGTGTGACACGCATTCCGTATCTCTGGCACATTGCTTAGGGTCAAACGAAGCACCCGTCTCCTTCTGGATCCAGTATATGTAGGATGCAACTCTCGTATACAGTCCCATTGATCCAGCACTGCAACCCGTTCCAATCGAGATGATTCCTGCTACGAATGGAATCTTCTTCTTGGCACCAAAAGGGTCAACCAAATCCACCAGAATCGGACCACCGGAATCACCCGGACAGGCATCCTGGTTCGGTGCAGCAGCGCAGAATTGACTTTCCAGTATACCGTCCGCTATTTTACGATGCTTCGGGAATCGATCGGTGCATTCCACTGCTCCCAGCGGAGCTAGTTCAGCTTTGAGTAGAACAGGGCTCGAACCTGAACTAAAATTAGTCGATCCAAATCCCATCACCGTTAAGCTGTCGAAGTTCAAATCCAACCCAGTCCAAAGACAAGCCGAGCAAACGAACATTCCCGGTTTGACGGCCTGTTCCAATTCTATCAAGGCAATATCGTGGTAAGCTCGTGCAGCTCTAAAGTCTGGATGTTTGAGGAAGCGCTTGATCGCGATTTGCTGAGCATTTTCATCACCCTCGGAATGGAATAGATCAACGTCTCCGAGTCTAACCGTATCTGGTGGCTGTTGTTCGCCGTCCACCACACAGTGGGCGGCCGTCAGAACGTAGTTCAACGTGATCAACGTCCCACCGCAGAAATAATCTATCTTCGACGAACTGCGAGTCCATCCAATGGCGGCCTGCAAGTTGAGCGGGTCAGTATTACGACTCGAAAAACAAAAATTCGATAAGAACGCACAAAAGCACTATACTCGCCCGGTTGAACTGGATCTCCATTGTGCACTGATGTAAAAAAGACATAACTCTTGTTGGTGTAGAAGCGATCGACACAGTCTGGAACAAAAATTTCAAATTAGCTCTAATCCGCGGTTGCTGAAATTCGTCGAACCATCAAGGCTGCTTCTCGTGGTGTAATCTTCTGGTGGAATATCCGTGAATGTTTGGCACTTGACTGTGGAAAATGAACATTAGAATTAATGATTTGAAAAGATTATTCCAGCTTACCATTGGTTAAAACGAATAATATCATTAACGCCGTAGTTTTGAGAAGGAGCATAATTACGAATGATTTAAAAGCCTAGCAAAACGATCTTCGCTTTCCACTTGGGTAGGTCAACGTCACTCGAAGGCCCAAACGCAACTGCCACGGACAGAGTAACAGTATGGAAATACCTAACTCCAAAACCAGTTTTGTTAACGATAAATGTGGGCAGGAGAATCCTATAGGTGACGTAGGTGACGAGTGAGTTTTAAAATGCGAAGAAGCTGTAGGTGAATCACTAGGAAAGGACAGGTAGTAGATAGTAAATAAATAAAGCGTAAATTTGTTTTGTAAACAGTAGCGGAATAGGGTTTAAACATGGCATCCCATGCCTGTAGGTGATTGTTATCCCAAGAATGGAGTCCATTTGGCGGATGAGTTTTGGATGTTCTTTGCTTAACAGCTTAATTACTAACTCAAACAGTGATTTATTTTACTTTGATAGGTACATGGATAGAAAAAAAAAGCAGTGGGTTATGTCCAACTAAGAGATTATTTGTGTTGCTGATTTCAATAAAAAGTGTGAAAAATTGTATTCCCAAAACAACAAAGCAATATCCATGATATAAACATTCAATATCCATAAATAAGATTCCATTTAAAAATTCCGACTGCATGAGGAACTGATCTTTACAGCCTTGAGTGTTTTAATTTCTGTGCTTTGGTCATAATGACCTTGGAGTGCCTCAGGGAAGTGTATTTGGGCCCCTTTTATTTATTATGTATATTAATGACATGCGACGAGTTTTACGGTTTTGTGATATTAATCTTTTTGCTGACGATACTGTGTTATTCATTGCAGCTAAAGATTTAGAAGAAGCCGTTTCACGCTTGAATGAAGATTTGCGTTCTCTAAGTAGATGGTTGAAGTATAAACAATTGAAATTGAATATAAGTACAACTAAATTCATGGTAATTTCGCGGAATCGTGTAGATGATGATGTCTCTGTTGTTATTGATGATGAGACACTTGATCGCGCTCAGGAAATTAAATATCTTGGCGTGATTATTGATGACAAACTCAAGTTCAATTCTCATATTGACAATGCCATCAAGAAAATTGCCAAGAAGTATGGAATCCTATCCTATCGCTTGAAAAACGATTTAACTATTGGTATTAAAATACAGTTATACAAATCAATCAACTCCCCTCATCCAGACTATTGCCCTTCCATTTTATTTTTGGTCAATGAAACACAAATATCGAGATTACAGCGTTTGCAGAATAAAGTAATGCGTTTGATTTTAAGATGTAATAGATTCACTTCCTCAGCTTTTATGCTGGACGCTTTGCAATGGCTGTCAGTGAAGCAAAGAATTGTGTTTTTGACTATGGTGTTCATTTTTAAAGTAGTTAACGGTTTGCTGCCTCGATATTTGTGTGATCGGATTGAAAGAGGAAGTGGTTTTCATAGATATAACACTAGAAACGCGGATGAAGTAAGAACACCACATCTTTTGAATAATGCTTCACAAAATTCATTATTTTTCAAAGGTATAAATGTTTTCAATTCGATGCCTAGACACATCAAGCGTGCAACTACACTTACAGAATTCAAGAGACGCTGCATTTCACATGTAAAAGCTGTTTATTGAGCAGTTAAATTTTTATGAATGGATAAATCATGTATCTTGACAAAGTTATCACTAACGGATTATTTTGTATGGAGACTGTCATCAAGACATTTTAGTAATTTGTGTAGCATATACAAAAAACTACATTGTTTGCCTCGATGGTGATGATGGATTTTTAGTTTTTTGATTTTGTAGTAGTAATAATTAAAAATAGCTTTGAGTAGTCTACAATGGTTTGAGCCTCGCGCGCGGAATACAGGTATAACTAATACGTGGAAATTGTGGCAAAAGCCTTGAATTAGTAAAGGATTGGCTGGAAGTCGTTTCCTTGGATATAGTCCTGGCACTGCGGAAGCTTAAACGTGTAAATCCCAGGTCACGTGTAAATGGAAGTATTGTCGAGGACTATACTTGGACTTTTGATAGCTAGTTACACCTTTGAATGTTTTTGGTTGATGCCTATAGCATATTTAACAGGACATTTATATCTGTATTTGTAACCAGCTCGATTTTGTTTGCAAACCTGGTTAAAATGTTTATATTTAATTATCTTAAAGATATCTCGTCCAGCTCAAACCTTTGTAGGGGTAAGAGGTGGGACCATCATCATCATCATCATCATCATCATCATCATCATCATCATCATCATCATCATAACGTTATTTAACCAGACAACCAGAATGCACGTGTCGTGTCTCCAGATCAGCGTTGCCAGATTGTTTTCAAGCTTATCGGTATCAAATGTTTAAAAAATCGGTATTTATCGGTGTTCACTATTTAAATCCGTTTTATATTGCGTAAATTCAAACCTTTGGACTAAGAACGAAGTAGTAAGTCGGAAGAATTTTCCGGGAATATGTGAACTAGTCTCTTGATGATACCGAAAAAACTTCCAGAGAAAGAATGAAGAAGATTTTGTGGTGGAAGTTTGCAGGAAATTCTTAGAAAAACATCCGATGAGGATCTCCCAAGACAAATATTGAGAAACTTCTGACGAAAACTTAAGAAACTGTCGGAAAAAATCAGATAACACACCCAGAGGAAACCAGAAAAGTTTTGGAAATTGGAAGCCAATTCCAGGGGAAATCATAAGAAGCTCGGAAAACCCTTCCAACAGAAGTCGGAAAAAACCTACGGAGAATGACTTATGGAGAAACTTCCAGAGGATGAAAGAAACTTCCAGAGGATGAAAGAAACTTCTGGGAGAACTTTCTGTAGAAGATGGAACAAACTTTTCGGAGGCGCTGGGAGAAACCTGCTTAGGTAGATTGGAAGAAACTTCTGGAAAAAGGCGGAAGCCAGAGGGTTTACGGAACAGAAGGAGAAGTTGGGAAAATCTGGAAGAAATAGATTTCTGGGCGATGTTAGCTACATTCCCTGAAGTTCCATAATGATCAAATGATCCAGCAATATTCCTGATATTTATAAAACATCCCTGAAATCCCACAATTTCTCGGAAGTTTTCAGAACATTCCTGAAATGTACTTCGAAATATTCCTTAATTCCTTAGAACTCCTTGAAAATTCTAGCAATTCTCCAAAAATTAATGGGGCTGTTTTGAAGTTAACAAAGTTTTCATGAACCTCTGGGAACTTTGCTGAAGTTTTTGAAAATTCCCTTAGTTCATTTAAAGGTTATTTTTTTTTTCATGAATTGGTGTGTCCTGATGTTCCAGAGTTTCCTAAAGTGACCTCAATTCTCCTGAACAAATGGAAGTGTCATGAAAATTATTATGTTTCTATGAAGTTCTTTGGACTTGTGAAGTTTCCAAATTATTTCAGATGTTTCCTTCAGTTCACGGGAGTTCTCTGGACTTTCCTGAAATTCCCGGGTTCTCGAATTTTAACAGCAGTAAATGAAACTGTCTTTAATTTATCGAAACTTACCACCCTTACATTTCTTTAAACTTACCCAAAAGTCCGAACTATTCTGCAGTTTCAGAATTTCTGAAAAGATCCTGCAGTGTTCCTGAAGCTAATGGAACCGCAATAAATCTCTGGAAGCAATTCTGAAGTTTCGGAGAAGTTGAAAAAACTGACGCGAGAAGACGAAGTAGAAGGCGACCTGGGGACCCTTCGTAGACTACGAGGCTGACGACGTATGGCCATGGATCGAGTATAGTGGAGACAACTTTTTCGGACAGCAGAGGACAACAAGGCCTTAGCCTGATTGGTAAAATAAGGGAGAAGACGAAAGAAGCTTTCAAGGGCAGCCAGAAGAAGCTTCCAAGAGAAGTCGAAATAGATTTCCGAAAGGAATTGTAAAATAACCTCGAAAATAACTTACAGGGTAAGGTGGACGAAAATTGCTAGGGAAAGTTGGAAGAAACTTCGAAGGGAAGATTAGAGAAATTTCACGAAGTTGAAAAATTAACATTTTGATGGATTTATTTGTTCACTGAATAAAAGTATTTCTCGATTTACAGGAAATACCGGGATGCGCCATCAGCTGTTTCTCGACCCCTTGGTAGCCAAAAAAGGCATTTTTAAAGAAGAATTTTTCTAGGGCTGGCTCAAAAATTTGAATGTTTAAAAAGATAAAAGCCTCTCACAATAGTTTCAGTGCGGGCGAGCAAATATCATTTTGATTATTTAAAAAAATCGGTATAAATCGGTATTAAAACTCAAAAATCGGTGTTCTGAGTTACCTTATCTGTACATCGGTATCAAATTTGAAAATCGGTATAAATACCGATAAATCGGTATATCTGGGAACGCTGCTCCATAGGGTAGATGTACCAGTTTATGGCTATATGTTCCAATTATGGTGTGCTCCAATTATAGAATATGGGAATCCCATAGGCCATAATTGGAACACACCATAATAGGAACAAAAGATGGATATACACAACTGGTACATCCTATATATCTGCAAACTAATAGTATATAAGTAAAAAGGGGCCATATTCGTGCAAATTTTAAATTACTTTGATAGCGATTTAATTTGACATCATATACGACTTCTAGATAGAGCTGGAATTAGGGCGTAACAGCTTTTGTAAACAATGACTTTTTTTTCGATAATTTCTAGAAAGTTAAAGCTCGCCAACGCAAATCATCGTCACCAATGAACTCACCAATGGAAGACTTACCCTACACGATGGTTATTAGACTGATGCAAAATTTGAAATTTTCGCTCCACAGTGTTCAAACGGTTTCCAATCGGGTCCTAATTAGCCTCCGAAAGTTTAAACTCATTTGATACGAAACTGACTTGGCACAAACCATTTGAAGTTTATATGGAAATTACTATGGGAAAACAAAACTTCTTGTTCATTGTCTTCTAGCCTTTTTACATATTGTAATGTAAACAAATTCTTTTTCTATTCTTATGGGAATTTTTATCGGATACAACTTTGCAGAAAATCGTTGTTCAGTCAAACGTCAATTTATTGTTTTAGAATTTGATAATCTTATGGCAAGATTAGCAACTGTATTGTGGGCAACACTGTATTCTGCACTGTGACATAGTAGCCATGATTTTTGTCCTCTATTCTACGCGCCATAAA